AAATTGACTATAACTGGCTCTATGATGGTGTCGATGTGGTGGTCAAGCTGCCACATTTTTGTTTCTTCCTTCACAACATGACGATAGCATTCTGCCAAGCTTCGGGCGTTACTAGCTGTATGGAAGTCTCAAGCAAAACCTTAACGTCTGGTCATTTGAAGGTTGTGTTATGGCGCGCAATTTAACCCTTCACTTGAGCCCAGATGAGCTCTATTGGGTTCAGTTCACAGTGATAGGGCGGTAACCGCAGCACAGTGACACCACATTGACGGGCCATTTCATCAGTCACGTAACTAATGTTCGCAGGTTTGTGCTGTTTAATTTTTTCATACAATTCCGCTTTCACACATGAATCGTCAAACGGGATTCCTTTTTCGCGCAACCATTGCTGCATGTCACTTTTTCGAGATCCCATAGTCGGTACACGTTCGGCTCGACGACTATGGTAGGAAGCATTATCCATGACGATCACAGAGTTGGGCTCAACTCGCTGAAGCACCCCTTGAAATGAGCTTTCGAAGCAGCTGGCATTCATTTCGTCATGGTAATCACCTCCTTTCTTAGAGACGAAAATCAAGTCACACTCTTCTAAAAAGCCACTATCGCTACCAATATGAGTTACGATCAATCTTTGACCTTTCCCTGACGGTCCACGAAGACCTGTTGACAAACCTTCAATGCTTGCTTGTCGGTTACTCACTACGTTTTTGTCTATCCAGGTTTTTTTAACTGTGTGACCTGCATTTACCCATGTCTCGTCCAAATAATAGATTTTTCTGCTTTGTCGCCTATATTCAATCATTTCGCGTAGGTATTTTCGACGCCAGGCGACTATTTCAGGTCTCTCTATCAATACTGACTTCCGATTACGCGTTTCGTAACGAAAATTAATTTCGTGCAGGGATTTCCTCATTACCTCGTCGCTCATTTGGGGTATAATTTCATTTTCCTTGATTGCTGCATGTACAGCCTTGAGGGTTGGTATCTCATTCCTAAAGAAGAATGAATGTACGGTTCGCCTTAACGCCATTTTGCTATCGTCATCCAATTTAACGGCCTTTCGTCCCTTCAAATTAAACTTTGGATCAGTAGTAGCTCCAGTTTTCTTCTTTTCATGCACCACCCTGCGAATGGTCCACTCTGGACCGCCTGTCATACTTTCACAACGCGCGAGTGCATCTCCCTGCGACATAGTTCTGTTCAGATAATTGAACACGTTGAGCACGATTTCTTTCGCGTCCCTCTTAAGTGCTTTACGAAGCCGTCTACTTGTTCCCTGGCTTTCAGTATTTCCACTCGTGCCATTTGTACTCTCCATGGTTAAGTATAACCAAAACAGTAACCACAGAAACCACAACAATAACAATCACACAACAATTCTTATAAAAACACTCAATATGCGATCGCTCAACGAAACACGTTCCAATGCATTGCCGACGCCTATGAGTCTGCCGGTCGAGGCGCGTCTTTGATTTCATTGGTTCTACCGGCGGAGAACAATCAGCCATTATTTCCATCTCTGTCTGTGCTGTTGACCACCGCAAAGCCACAGAAACGACATATGTCGTACGCTATACGGCTGTACTGGAAGGAAGCCGGGATCGAGCTCTGATCACGTGTTGATCACGAGTATGAGTCATTACAGTTTTAAATAGTATATGTTACCACATTTAATTCAATCAAGTTAAACTCAAATATAGCATATCTGAGAATTTTCTGAACGTCCGGCAACTTTTTTCGGGTAAAGCACATCGCAACAAACACTATGCGTGGAAGATGGACGCTACTGCTACATGATAGAGATCGACCAATATAGAAGATGCTACGTACATCGTTTCCCACACGTTTCGAAAAACTTCTAAGTTATCAAGTACCATAGGACTTGGAAGCTGTCAAAATAATGGGCTAAATACAATCAGCAACACCACTGGAAGAAGTGAATAGTGTTCATTTGAAAAATTCTCGCCACGGATTTATCGAAAACCACTGATAAAAAGAAAAAATGCAACCAAAAATCACTTCACCCTCTGCCCCCAGGGTCATCCACTTAAAAAATTTAAATGACAAGGGGTATCGAGTAATAGCTTGTTTGAAAGGTCTTTCAAACTCCTTTATTTTGACGTTTGATTTTTTGAAATCAATTGATTCGTTTTCAAGAAAATTAGAAAACCGTCATTGGTCTTTAGTTTGTTTAGATAGAAAACACACGAAAAACTCATTTATTATTTCACTAAGTGTTCAACATGTTGCCCTTTATTGGCCAAACAATGATATAGGCGATACTAAATTTCCCAACTTTTCAGGTTGGGGAGTAAACACAATAGATTTCAAACGGCTGCATAGAACAAAGTCTAATTGCATCAAATCGGGAGATCTAGCAGGCCATTCTATAGGCCCTTTTAGCCCTATCCATTTATCTGGAAACTCGTCGTCTAGACATTGCCGAACCGGAAGAACATAGTGAAGAGGGGCGCCGTCTTGCTGGATATATTTCAGCCTTATCAGGTTTCCATCCTCTTCGATTTGGTTTTCAATGGTTTCAGTGATTAACGTATTGACGGTATTTTCCAACATATCGGAATAAATGTCTCCATTCAAATTTCCTTTAATAAACAATGGCCCAATCACTTTGTTTCCTAAAATGCTTGCGCATACTTTTTGGGGGTACTGAGAATGCCCTTCTACAAAAGCATGATGATTTTCATTGTTCCAATACCTGCTGTTATGCTTATTAACAAATCCATTTAGATAAATTGTGCATTCATCACTGAAGAATGGTATTATCAGTAATCGCTGCAGTCATTTGTTCACAAAAGCCAACTCGCCTATCGAAATCATCTTCGGTTAACTTGCAATATTTTCATTTTGAATAGATGAAATTTACGGAGTTTATTTAGTAGCTGTGTCTATAGAGCCTAATGAAATACCAGTCGCAGCAACAATTTTACGTAATGAAGTATTAGGACTTCCAAAATGACCCAAAACTTGAGCAGCTTCATCCAAAACTCTCCGATGATCACGTTTTTTATTTGCAACAGATCCAGCTTGAGTAAATTTAGTAACAAGGTCCAAAACATAGCTATGCGAAGTTATCTTCTCCGGATGGCTGGCGTTAAACGTGACGGCAGTTTGCCGAGCACATTGATTTTGGGCACCATAAACAAGAATCATTTCCACTCTTTCGACTAGTGTGTAAACCATTTTTGAAGTAAAATCTGAATCAATAAAGTCATTTTCACTATTCCAAAATTGTCACAGAGGTAACTGACAGCAAATTAAATTCTTTCTTTCCATTAGCAACAAATAACTAAACTGGTATAACAATAAATACAGTTCGCCCAAGATATCAGTATTGATAAAAAGAATGCAGAATAAATTCAGGTTGTTATTTGGTTGTTGCCACGTCTAATCTTCCGAATTGCTGTTTATGTTGGTAGTTTCAGCAATAATTATCAGTAATATTCATAAATGGGTAAAAGGCTCAATAGCAGTGACACTTTTGTGCCCAACAAGCCAAAGAAGCTCTACATATTTACCTAGAAGGAGAAATGTAACTTCGCTTTATAGGGATGCGGCAAAGAATGATTCCCCAGGTTAATAATGAAAAGGATAATTTATGCAATCAAATACCTGTATACGTAGCTTAGAGATCTTCTACCGCATAACTGAGTAGTGCAATAACTGAAACGACATTTATAGCAATGTAGATGCTCTTAAGTTACGCAGTAACATATCATTTTCATCCAAATATTCACAAACAAGTGACCATCAAATCTATAATTGTATAATATGCTTCAAAAATGTTTTCATTTATATTTGTAAAATTACTTGAATTGAGAGTGAGCAGGGTCAACATACTTGAAGAAATTTTTTCACGTTTCTGGCGGTGCAAATGAGATTCCTCGAAATTATTTAAATGACTGGCAAGTCGTCAGTCGTCGGCCTACAGAAGAGCAAATGTGATTATATGCGTAATGAGAACCGCGGTTCAAGAAGTATTTGAATCATGTGGTCGCATTACCGACCGTGTTCTCTGCTACCGTGCTGATGCAGTTTCTGTGCTAATGTTCTGTCGATTACATTGCTCCAATGCCGCTGCAGATCTCCACTTCGACCGCTTGCTTGTTAAATAGGATGATTACAGATTTTTTAACGTTCTTCGGACTTCCACTAAAAAGTGATTCTTCTCATGGCTTGCACGCATTTTATGCAGTAATGGCAATGGTGAATAATTGGGTTACTTCTGCAACGGGTCACCCTTCTGAAGAAATAACAGCCTGCTTTTTTACACCGAAGCAGCCGCGCAGGCAGGAGCCTAAATGCCAGGGCTCCGCGACTGCTATGGGGAGCTTGTTGAACCGATTTTTGATCTGCCTAAGATTAGTCGAAGTTCCACAATCACGATACCCTAGGGACAAAGGAGCGGTCGTATCGACCAGTTCTGGATGTACGAAGTTCGACACGGTTAGGATGGGAGGCCGATGTCAGGCGGGTCTGTCTGGCAGCCCCTTCATGCGGCGGCATCAAGGAGCAAAGCCCATTGGCGTAGGTAGCTAGATCCCTTATGGCTCGCCAGTGCGTAAGGGTCCCAGAACTGTGCGTTAGAGAAGAGTCATCGATCAGTCGGACAGCCATCCTCAGAACAGCATCGAGCATGGTAGTGGGATCGGCAGCACCCCAAACATGTGAGCAATCCTCTTATCAGGGTCTTGTACAGAGTGAGGAAGTCATGTAGAGAAAACCGGATGAGCGCTAGGATGCTTTTGTTCGTCAAGGTACAATACTGTGTTCTGGAAGCATTAAACTGTACAAGATTGTGGCGTCCCCAAGCAGTGATAACCAGAGATCGGTTTGTCACTTTGAATTCTTGCATATTTATAGAGGTACTGTCATCAGCAGCTGTATATCGGGTTGATCGTACAGGAAAGGACGTCGTTTTTTTTTATACTCCAACTACCACGAAGGCCTAAGGCCTAAGCACCCATTGGGTAATTGAGTACCGTGGGGCTATAGGGGGATACATGGGAAAGGGGGAGAACGCCACACAGACTCTGGCGAGGGAACACGTGTACATGCAACATGCACACATTCTGGCCCCGCCTACGAGATCCGCCGGGTGGTACCTCCGCGTTCGACAGTCAGAGACCGTCTACCACCTACGGACAATCACAACATCCATAGCCAAGAGAAAAATTTCTCCTGGGACGGGACTCGAACCCGCACGGCGCACGGCGACTGATCAGGAGACCGAAGAGTCTACTACTGCGGCCACCGCTGCTGCCTGATCGTTGATATGCAAGAGGCACAATGTCGAATCCAAGACCGATCCCTGGGGACGACCTGCGTTGACGTCGTGAGATGAAGAGGAGACGGATATCTTGCGATCAGAGAGTAAGTCAGACATCCATCAAAGTACAGAGAACATCATATGGGACATCCTTTTGCGGCCTGCTGGTCTTCTGGGATGACCACTAATTCAAACTCAATTTGTTTGGCGCCTGATGGCATTCTGGCTTTATCGTGCTATTTGCCTATTAGTCGAGCTTTTTAGCAGCAATGAAATGATAGTCGACAAAATAGCTCAGCTGGTGGGAAGAGCAGCTATAGTTACACGCACCTTATGCAAACGTTCAACTTGCGATTGTGACCTTGTTGTAACTATTGTCGTATTTCTGAATTCCGTCAAATTTTGGGACATTTTACCTACTCATTCATTTGAAGTTGGAAATGTTATCATATCATCATTTCTATCTCAGTATAAATATAGTTGATAAATAATAAGATCTTTAACTTTTCCTTTATATACTAAGTGACATAAATCCGAACACCCAGTTTAAATGGTTTTATTTTAATAAAATTTTGTATAAGTACTTAATGAAGCATAATAAGTAAATGATAAACATTTCAAAATGATTACACTGCTTTAAATTCCTTTGACCTTTAATAATGTGTGGATGCACTCTGGCATGCTTCTGATCAGGTGGTCAATGTCCTCCTGTGGTATCTCATTCCAGGCAACCACCAACTCCTCTCGAAGTGCTTCTAGAGTCTGAGGAGGACGTTGCAAATTGAGCAATCTCCTACCCATCATATCCCACACGTGCTCAATTTTGGATAAGTCGGGAGATCTTGGTGGCCATGGTAACAATGTGACATCATTATGTTGAAAGAAGTCTATTGTGACTCTTGCAACATGTGGTCGGGCATTATCTTGTTGGAAAGTTGGATCTGCCAGGGTGTCAAGATAGGGTAAAAGATGGGGTTCTAGAACTTCGTGGATATAACGCTGCGCGTTCATGTTACCTCTAATGAAGATTAAAGGTGACCTGGGACCATAAGCTATAACCCCAAACCATAACTCCAACAGTGTGTTGAACATATCTTTCAACAAAAAACTGTGGATTCCTCCTTTCACCACGTCGCCTTCTAACCCTGGCACGACCATCGTGCATGCCTAAACAAAATCGAGACTCGTCACTAAAGACAATACTGTTCCATTCCTGATCCCAGAGTGACCGTTGTCTGCACCACTCAAGGCGATTATGTCGGTGTTCTCGAGTTAAAGGGAGGACCCAGTGTGGCCGGTATGAAAACAAGCCAAAACTTCTCATTCGTCGGTAAACACTTCGCATGCCAATAGGTCTTCCGTGTTCTGCAAACCATTCATTTGCAATGGACCTGGTAGTGGAGAAACGGTCCCTTAAGGCCAATAATCTTAGGCGGCGATCTTCACGGTCTGTTGTTCTACGGCGGAGTCCAGTGCCCCTTGCTCTTTGCGTATGGCCTTCTCGAAGCCATGCCTGACAACACCTAACCACAGTGTCTACACTTCTTTGCACTCTAACTGCAATTGCCCGAAAAGAAAGTCCAACTTCCCGAAGTCCCACTATATGGCCCCTATCAAACTCACTAAGTTGACGAAATCGTATAGGTCTCCGTACTCTAGGCATCGTAACCAATCGTAAAGGATGTCAAGAACCAAAATCCGCCAACGTTGATTCTTTACTGCGGCTGAAATATTCATTTTTAGAGCGTTAGTGAATTAAAAAAAAGCAGTATAAAAACCGGAATGTCCAACTGATAAGGCTGAAAATTTTTTCACTTGTTATTTACAGTAAGATAAATACATTCACCAACTTTTATTAAAATAAAACCATTTAAACTGGGTGTTCGGATTTATATGTCACTTAGTATATATTGGTATACCATGACTGTTCTATGGTTTCCTGGATAGAGCATGATTGCCTTACATATACAGCATGTTACAATAAGTATTATACAGCTGGGGAATCACAGGGAGTTTGAATGGCAAGACCAGCAAGACCTTAATCAATGATGGTACGGATCCGAAAGCTGTTTCAATTGGCAAATCGGGGATTGGGAGTCTCATTACAGGTCGAGTATCTTTATTAGGCATTTATAGTAACTATGACTATTGGCTGTATAATACTATTGTAACACACTGTATGACCATATCATCATAATAAAGTAAACGATTTCATGCTGAACGACAAACCGCAAAGGGTTTTTAAAGGAAGAACTGTTCCATCATTGGCATGCTGGGAGAGAGCAAGGTCGTCACCGCCAATCCATAAGAATATAATTTTGAGACTTTGCAACATTGAACGTTGTCTCCTGGACCGCATCAAAAACGGACCGGATGTTTTACGCGCAGTTTTTTTTCAAATACTAACATTAAACCATTTTCGTCATCCATAAAGTAATCCTACTGATTATACGTATTAGAACCTTTTCTATACACCCGCCCCCTGCTTTATAGTAATACCATGGGAAATGATCCCAAATTCATTCAAATGTTGTTGTTTGCCACACAAGTTTGCTAATGCATCCACTTTTGGCGAAATAATAGGTTCTTCATATTATTAGGCGTTTAATCATAAAGTTTATAGAAGATACTGATGGACGCTGGCGGGACTTCTTCTTTCGAGAATGATTCGGAGACCAACTATTTTTATCAGAGTTCAGAAATACAGTTGCCCGAAACAAAATATAACCACGTCCACTTTCTGTCAACTGTACTACTTCCTCATTTCAAGAGTTGGCCCCTGGTTATCTCCAAATCTCATCACAAGCATTTTTGTGGCATCTGTAGCTGTGTAACCTCGTTCCTAAGTAAGACAAATCCTATAGTACTTTCACCGACCCTTTTTCAGCTTGCACCACAAGCGCGATTGCATTTATAAACCATTTATAAACAATTGGCTGGGGTGACATGGCTCATCTAAGATGACAACAATAGTAGGCTCGTAGGCATAAAAAAGTAATGTAACTTTTGTTTGGTTGTATTAATTTTATTTGGAACGGCTTCAGTCCTACTGCAATTGTATTGTCTGTTGGAAGCTTGGGACCTTGTTTCTAAAACGGATGCTTAGTCTTTTGGGAACACCCTGTGATATTTTATGCAGCTATGCCCATGTCTACGATGGCGTCGTTATTCATTGCATTAGAGTTGTCAGCGTCTTTATCAGAAGATGGATTGCCCTCAGCCTCACACATATAATACGAGGATACCCCTTTTAGTTGTGATGTTTATATTTAATATGACAGTTCAAGGAAAGCAGCTAGCCGCACATCAGTAAGTTAATGCCTTAACGCGTCTCTGTTTATATACTCTCGAGGCCAACTTGAGTGGCTTAACTGTAAGGATAACCCTTTCACCAATTAATGGGATCGATACTAGAAACTTATGACTCAGACGTAAGACAGTCAATCATTAAGTCTATAAAGAGGGTTGTTGGCCAGGGTGGTTGAACTAAATCAAATTGGTGAAAAGGATGATCAGAGAATACGAGATCTAATACTTACAAAGACACATGATTAATGGAAAACTACTAAAACTACTAACACTTGTAATAGTAGCCATCTTCACAGTACTGAAGAAATGGCGGCAGGTAGGTTGACTCTGCACTACCCCGCAATGCCCTTATCAGTACATAAAGGAATGTTCAGCACAAACAAGATCCGCTGAGAAAAGTCAGTTAAACAGATCCATACTATTAGTCAATAGACATTCCTTCCCTGCTCCGCCGGAAGTGCATCTGGAGACGTCGTCTCCCCTAAATCCTAACGCGCGGCAGAAATGTGTGTGATTCCATAACAGTACACTTATCATGGTCCGCGGATGACTCCAGCAGCAGCTGCGGTGGATAGGTACGCGATCCGTCTCCCGTCTCTACAATGTATGAGGTATGTCTAATAGGTGCGTTGAGATAAATCCCATCCACTCCCTTGCAACCTTCACCTCCAAGTTTCTTACCTCTAAAGTTTTTTTCTAAAAGGATCATATCAAAAGTCAAAAGACCAAGTTTGAGAGATTTCATTTTTTTTGTTGTAGGCCTTTTTCTCTTCCGCCACTGGACCGATTCTCAAAAATTTCAAAGCTTTCGCGTCCGTGGCACAGTCTTGGCATTGCATAGAAATTTCATCGAAGTCTGTATTTCCCAAGTCATAGGCGGTTACAAGATTAGCGGACAAACCGACAGACAGACAGACAGACCGACGGAAATAAGTGAATTAGTTCTTCGTGATGTACATGTCATATAACATCCAAGAAACATAACATCTCATTTTCGAAATTTTTCGCGATTACAAGATTACAAAACGTGGCAAGAACTACAAAATGTAGTGAATATCTTTTTGTATGCAGTCTATCAAGTAACTTTCGATCACGAATGCTGCCCCATTTTGCATCCGAGGGCTAATCTTATTACCTGGAGGAAAACTATATTTTATTTTTGAGAATGTTCATCACACATTTTTTTGCTATTAATTGCCTAACGTATACCTGAAGATAGCCAGACTAATATTATATTCCCGCTTTTCAAAAATATATAACAGCTACGTTTTTCCTCTCCGCAGTAATTAGAAATCTACCTTGAAACGGCTAGTGTTTCATAGATAGTGCTATAGTCGTATCGGAGCAAAAGAACCAGCTGTTGGAATTTGTAAAAAAAAAATTTGATGCAATTTTGAATAAAATTATGCAAAATAATCCGAATCAGGATATTTTTTCCATCATTATGGAAGATAGTACCTGCAATATACTGCGATTGACGAGATGTGTTTATGAAGAATTATGTTCTTAGTGGTCTGAGCGACTTTGAGAGGCTTCCTGGCTTCCTGGCAACGCTCCGCTATCTAACAAAGCTGATATGTGCTTTTTTGCACCCCC